ACGTTGAAAATGATTGCACAATTTCTATTGATCAAAATCTCTTCATATTTTCTACATTGAGTTTCTGTTTTAAATTTCCCTTTATTAATTTTTATTCTATCTTTAGAAGAACTGGAAGGGATTGTATTATTTTTTTCTTTAAGTTTTATTTGCTTTTTTTTTTTACGGTGGGAGAGATTTTATTTTCTAACTCCATGTATGTATTTTCATATTCAGAATTATCTGTATCCATTTTGTTCATTTAGTACATTGTTTTGATTGAAGAAGCTGTCTGTAGTAAATGGAGTAGGGAGGGGGAAAAGAGATACATGAGGTCCACCTTATCAATGAGTAATTGTTTTTTTGTTGCAGGAATTAGTTTCATTTATTCATTGTTCTGTTCATACTTGCCTATGTTTCATTGCTTTTCACTAAATCTGAATCTTGGCAGTGCAGTGTAAGGTAAACTTCCTTTGCTAATGTTAGAATATGGGATAACTCTTCTGTGAATTATAAATGGAGTCTGATATCTTTCAAGTTTGAGTTTCTGAAGAATTAAGAACAGCAGAAGGGACTTTTAAAGGTCTCTTCTAACTCTAAGGATTCTATGATTCTACAGCAACTGAATTAATGCATCTGTGTAGATATATCCTCACTTTACAATGAAGTGAACAGCAGTCACTCAAAGAAAAGTTCTTTTAGCAGTGAGCTTTGGTTCATTTACATTGTACAGATTAATAAAGGACAAGTCAAGAAACCATTCACAGAGAAGGTAATGGCAGGACTTCTATTTTTGTATTCTGTAGTCAAAGAGCAAATTCAGGGGGAGGGGGACTTCTGTAAGACTTATAGGGGAAAATGGCAACAGAATTTAAGAAGTAGAAGATGATGTTGAGTTAAGTGGAAGAGAAGCTAGTTTTGAAGTTAAAGGCAAATTTATAAAAAGCTATGAGACAGATACATGTTACATCTCACTTTATATAATTAATTTTCTCAATTAATACTTGTGTAATAATATTAAATTGGTACTATGGACACACTGATGCATTCAGATACTGCACTCTCAATAGGGTTTTGCCTCCAACCTTGTTTTGGTCATTAGGTTACTAGGTGATAAAAGTAACTTTTCCTCTAAGTGTCTATCTAGACCTCTTCCATAACAAACAGAACTGCTAATCTTTTTCCTTGTATCCAAGTGAGAGTGGCAGTTCAAAAAAGCTGTGAAACCCCTTATTCAGAGAGGTTTGGGGTATGGTCAAGAATTTTAAAAATGTGACTCAAATCTTCTATTAAAAATGTGTTTTTCCTCATTTTGGAAATACAGTTGAAAAATAAATTTTTCCATGTGATTTCAGAGCATTGGTGTAAGAGAGCCCCTTTTGGGTTTAGAAGCGAACCTGACAGCATTTTTCCAGGATTGCATCATATGTTTCACTCACACTTTCACATCCTGCATTAAACCACATGCATGCACATCAACAAGACAAGATTGTAGAAGGAGGGTAACTGGGGAACTGTTTTCGTGATATTTGATAGGAGTAATTGCAGCCACTGCTGTTTCAAAGCAACTGTGGTTATACTATACTATGTCAACAAAAGTCAGTTGTGCCATATGGAAATATAATTACTTCAGAACGATCTGTTAGAAAGCACTTTCAAGCCATTCAGGCCATTTGTACAAATCAGTAAAGAATACTTATGTATGAAAGCTTTCTTAAATAAGAGCTTTCATGTATTTTTAGGTTGAAAATTATGGTGACAGTTTTGGAATTATTAAAAAAAAAAAAAATCCTACGTTTCTATTTAAAAGGTGGTAGGGAGATTTATTAGGTGATAAGAAAATACAAGTATTTCCCTGTGATTTCTGTGATCAACTTGGTCTTGCTCATGCTGTTGTTGAATAGAAGGGAGGTTTTGCTGTTTTCTTCAACTCCTAACGTTGCTGGAAATGGGATGGCATACAAAATGCTATATGTTAGTGAGATTATGCAGTGCTGGGGATATTGGTCTTTGTTAGAATTGTTCCATAAAATGACTGCAAGGTGATGATTTTTTTTTCTTCAGTTATGTGAGGTTTTCCCCTTCTGCAGCCAGTACATGTCTTGTTTTTACGTTTCAGTGTTTTTCTCTTTTGAGTTTCTTGGAACACATGTTAATCAGATTTTTTTTGTTATTCTGAAAGTAGAGAATATTGGGATTTTGTTAGTTAAGTTTGATAAATATGTGTGTAGATTCTCTTCTTATTGGCTGTCAGTAGCTGTAGCTGTAAAAACATTATATTTAAAAGACTTTGAATTCTTTTAATTGTAAAGAAACTGTTATTCGGTCCATGGATGTCTAAACCTCACAGCCATATTATGTTTGCTGATGTGCTTAAAGGTCTGTCTTGATAACATATAGATGTCTTATTTATGGATAGTCCATTATGTAAATGAGGTTTTACAGAACTTTTAAAGAAATGCATTGAGTATACAGTCATTGTGACCAACCTATATCTGCAGATGTAAAATATTTACAACCAAATTTCTTCCCACACTGTTAATGGAGAGAAACGATGAACCCAGGCGATGCCTTTCTGCCAGCCATTGCAAACCTTTCCCCACAGCCCCCAGTAGGAAAGGCAGCATCGTCTGCTTGGCCATTGCTGCTCTTGTGCTGCTGAGGGCATCCCCAGGGAGCAGCTCCTGGTTCCAGGCCATCACTGCTTGCTGGCTCTTGCCCCATAAGCTCTGGACTGAGTAAGGCAGGTTGCTTGTGCCTTCAGTGGGAAAAAATCTCCTCTGATTGCTGTTTGGCACCCACCAGCCACATAGCTTAATAGTTGCTTGCTTTTGTCTTTTTTACCCTTCCTCCTAGTTCAAATTTCCTGAAATAATATGAAGGTTTTACCACAGACTTCCAGGACAGCCATAACATGACCTGAAAGAGTAAAGATTGCTTCTTGGGAGATGTGGTAGGATAAAGTCAATAAAGAAACAGAAAACAGAGCTGTTACTGGAAAACTGAGTGGAAAGATCAAACCTGCTATGATTTCACCCATAGCATCCTGAGCTTGAGAGTGATTTTTGCCTTGGAGAAGACTACTATCTAGTTTTCTGCAAAGAAGAGCATCGAGTAACTCTCAATGCATTGTGGAAAACCCAGCGATGAAAACTGAGGGATGAGCTGGGAGGCAGCAGTATTTGCCAACACAAATATATTTTAAAAGGAAAACTAGATGTGGCTTCATCTTCTTTCTGTGCTCTCTTGAAGTAGCTAATACACAAGTCTGCAAGTGCCAGGAACGCTGGAACTAGCTTCTATCATTTTGTTCCTTTCCCAGTACTGTTAATCTCTTATATGGTCATCCAGGATTTGGGTTTTAAATTGGATGTAGTCATTCAAAAATTCCAAGGCACGTGGATTCATCAGTTATAGTCTGTTTGGTATCTGTTCATTGATGTGTTTACTCAGTTGGTTCAGAGTTCACATATCACAACACAAAGATGCTGTGGTACAAGTGTAGGTGTTGTAGTAAAAGAGTTTCCTTGTTTGATATCATGTTGCTTTTTAAAACAATCACATAAAATACATAAAATTGATCAGTTTATCTGTTAATATGCTGTATAAAAGAATTAATAGCTCCTTACATTTTGAAACAAAAGCATTATTATTGCAAAGCAAGGTAATAAATGTAAAATGCTACCATTGGAATCAAAATTATCAGCTGCATAGTGATCTGAGCAACAGACCTAAACATTTATAAGGCATGTGTATATATTTAAGGCAAGTTAATCTCACTTTTAAGACAATTTCTCACATCATTATAATTATTAAAAAAAAAAAAAAAACAAAAACAAACCAACATTGTGTATATGTATCCTGCAATTACGCTGCTGTTGTTGTATCTCTAACATAATTTCTCAACCCTAAGTCTGATATGTACTAAAGTAAGTACTGATATGGCTAAAATACCAGGAGCCTACTCCTGTGTTCCTCTTCCTTCCCTGCATTTCCAGGAATTATTCTGTAACACCAAAATTTGGACGTAGATCCAGGAACTAGCAGACAACATCTTCAGTTTCCTACCTTCTTTGCTCACGTGTTGTTGAGTTGTTACTGACTCCAAAACAGAAGGAACTTTTTCATAAATCAGCATAATAGAAAAGCAGCGCGTGAAAATCAGCATGGAGCTGAATTCCTCTATGATTTGAAATGTCTGAAGTTACATAGTAATAACATATCATTCGTTCTTCTGAAACGAGAGATGGCTATTTTTCATTTTTGAAGAAGTCTTAAATGAGAAATAGATGCTGAATTATTCTTGACGTCTTGGTTTCTCAATAAAGGTACTAAAGCAAGCAACAAGTTTGCTGTGATAATTACTGTTGTTCAGGAATTGTGTGTTATGCTAATAGTTCAGATATCAGAAGAGCTGCTATGTAGCTAATTGGTACAGTGAGAGACTATCTCTTTCTTAGACTTTGATCTTGTAGCAATTAGGCTACATTTCTGTGTTATGTAGATGGGGCTTATGTATAGTGTTGGGAGCTGGTAACATTTCTTTCACATTTAGGGTCTTTTGTCCTTGAGACTGAAAATCTCATACTATTACCAAGCTAGAGGAAGATTGACAAAACTCTTCTAATGTGGGAGATCTCAAGTTTGCCTTAGTTTTAGGAACACTGAGAAAATTCCTCAAATCTTTCTTAATAACTTTATGCTCTTGTTTGATTTTTTTTCAATTCAGTGAACTGGACCAAACATTAAATACCAAAGTTGTAGTTGCTAATATTATTTATTTAAGAAAAAAAATAAAAGGATTGCTAATACCAATTCAGTTTTAAACTGTGCATCACATGTCCAATCACAACATTTTCAAAACATCTCTGATTTGACAGCTTTACGCCATTAAGTTCACTTCTCATTATTTCTTTAGAATTCTTTAAAAGTACAAGGAAATATGTTGGTGGCATATTGATTTAATCATACTTAAGTATTTTATTAGGTAACAGATATTAATTAACTTCTGTTTTTTTTAGACCTTGCCAGTACGGAAGATTCCGTGCAAAGCCAATGCACCTTCAGGGTCTTTTTTTGCACGAGACAACACAGCAAATTTCTTATCCTGGTGCAGAGATGTAGGAGTGGATGATACCTGCCTGTTTGAATCAGAAGGTTTGGGTATGTATTTATTTATGTAGTAGTTAGTAAACAGCTTGTTGCTTGTATTTTGCTTTGAAAGAGAGAATGGCTCTTCTAATAGATTCTGACTCCAAATCTGACCAGATGAAGTATCCATCAAGTTAATTCATTTAATTCAGTTTTAAGACGGCTTTAAATAAAACAAAAAACTTTCAATCTTTTCTAGCATACAAATGATTTTTCACCCTGCACACCCACTTTTCCGATCATGGAATGTTATTCCTTTGTTCAGTGAATACAGAAGTCCTTTCCTATTTTAGGAGAGGAGGATATATGTGCGTTCTCAGTTTTTGCTACAGATATTTAGCTGTTAGAGCAGATTCTTGATGTGTTGCTCAGGAGGCAAGAAAATAGGATTTTGTTGTCTGTGTCCTTTCCTTCAGCTGACTTTCTTCTCAGCTGATTCTGGCATGCAGCTCAGGAGAGAAGTTAGCTAACATTAGTGCTTCAGGGAGCTCCATAAAAAGAATTGGACTGTTTAGGAAGTCATTCTTGCAACAATATGTATTCTTCATTAATTTAACTTTTCCCTGTTCAAAGGAAAATTTAGGACACTTCAAGACTTAGTTTCAGATGCATTAAGAAATGAACAGAATCAAATGTGCATTTATTATCTGAGCTCAGACAAAGTTGTAAGTAGCTGTAATGATTAAAAAAACCACAAAACCTCATGTTCTACAGAGATTAAATGAACACATTTTGCTTTATCAAGATTATTTGTTTTGTTTCTCAAAAGGCCTTTGCACAACTGAGTTACTTATCTGTGTTGCAATTGATCTGTTCTCCTTCTTTTACAATCTTTGTCTTCTAGCACGACTGCTTCTGAGACTTCTTCATTTGTCTGTTCTTTTATCATGCAAGTCCTTGGATTTTTTGACTTTTATTTTATGAGGAGAGAGATGCATGTGAGAGAAGAAATTGGTATGAAAAAAAATGACAAAACACCAAGCATATATGTAATGTCTCTGTGTTGTTAATTAAATCCCCGAGATGAAATTTTTCTTACCCATGGTAAATCACGTGGAAGACAAACAACCACACTTAAAAAGTTTTGAAATGATGGGGAAGTTGAATGCTACCTGGTGTTACAAACTCAAGAAGAAAGGAAACACAGACTTCCAGTGGCTTAAAATTTGTAAAACCAAATCTAACACCTAGACAAGTTTAGACTTGGTATTTGTGTGGCGAGCTCGGCTGTTTAATATGGTTCCAATAACAGGCTAATGGTACAGTTGAGAGTGTTTTCAATGAATTTCTTGTGCATTGTAAAGAAATCAGATTTTATTTCGAGATGAAATCAGCATAGCTTAAATAATGTAATTCCTTGCCTAAGTTAATTCTACACATACTTTTATACATACTCAGAGCTTTGCTAGCCACAGAATAACATTGAGTGCAAATACACATGGAAAGCTGGTGCTAAAGATTACTCCAGCTTTGAGAAAAGTGGAAAGAAATGTGCCCAAATACACAGTGCGCAAACCAGATGTAGCTCTAATAGGTTGGCTTGATTACTGACTGATTTTTCTCAATGATTTAAACAAGTTCTTTTGCTGCTCTGTCTTACTGTACGTGGAAAGTACATGTTGAAAAGATTTACGGTGCTGTAAATGGAATTAGAACTTGATAATGGCTTGACCAATTTTTCTTAAATTGACAGGGTGATAGTGACCATGCTGTTTCCAAACAAGATAAAAATAGAAGTTAGTATTCTCCCTCTATTGGAGGTAAAATGTGAAAAAGTTAGTTTGGATTGAGTAATATTTTTGTTACTACATTAGCAATAATGATGAATCAGTTACTATGTTCTGCTTTCTCCCACAAATCACTTTTCTCCTGCACAGGAAATAAAAATTCAGCATAGGTAAGTACTATAAAAGGTTCAATTCAAAATGATGAGGAACACATGCAAATGGCACGAGAGAGTTCACACTGCCTCATGAATGTCTGCTTTTTTTTTGATTGATAACTCTGGAACTGTGGTTGTGAAGATCAAGTTTTTTCTCTCCTCAAAGCTAATAAAAGTATTGATGCTTAAATCCCATGTGATAAAGCAGGTAGTTTTGAGAGATCTTTGTTAACCAGTGTTAATATTTGTACTTGATTTGATTTTTATCCTCCCTTTTTATTCTATTTTACCAGCCTTACGGAATGTAAATACTCCATTTATCTGCCTGTAGTGATATTTTCTTCATGTCATTTTATCACATAAAACTTTTTTTTAGCCTTTTCCCAGCAAGTTTCCACTCATAATTTTAGAATAAAATTGAATATTGATTGCACCAAAACATTTGAATAATGGGTTTTATCACATTAAATATTTTTTTAAAGAATTCTAAGTCTATTCACAAATCAAAAAATTTGTGAAAATTTTGACATGTACCAGCTAAGAAAATATTAATTACTTCTAATTCCTTAGAAATGTTCTCATGATGGTGAGATCTGAAGTCTTCCACATCATGTTAGAAGCTATGTGAAACTACACATGTGTGCATCCAGCACTCCCACAATTTTAGCACTTACATTGAAGTCATATGAAGGTTTTCCTTCATATGGAGTGGAATATTGTGAAACAAACGCTATGCAGCCCTTAATTAATAAAAGCTTGTGGGCAAGAGCTGTTGATAGGAATTTTGAGCATTCCTTGAGTCTGTCTTCTTGAACATGGTAATGTTCTAGGGCTAATCCATGTAGTAAGGTGAATAGACTTGCTTGTGTCACTGTGCCCTTGTCCATTGTTTGTAGATTAATTTAGCAAATTAATTAAGCTTAAGCACAGGTTGCAATGCTTTGTTGGATATGAGTTATACAGTTGAAGTCAAAAAAGAAAACAAAGTCAGTTTTTCAAAAAAAATAAATAGAAAAAAAACTGTGTTTGTTCTTTTGGTAGATACAAATATACCTTCAAAGGAACTGATGGAGTTACTTTGAAAACCTTTGCAAGAGATTAGTACACAGCTCAAAAGTTTGAAAACATTAGAAGTGTTTTAACCTAGATTTCACTTCAACTATCACCAGAAAATATTTGGGTTTGTTTGTTCAGATTAAAATAAATTGACAGGAGTCTGGATGTTGTGGAGGTGTACTAATTCAATACATGGGAATCTCTGGTAGGGAGTGGTGACTGACTTCAGTACTTTTTCCTGAGTTTCCATTGAAATTGTGGCTTTGAATTTCAAAATCTTTGTGATAGATTTCTAATGATAATAATATAAAAAATCACTTTTGATATTTATCAGGAAAATAAATTACTTTTGAAATTGAGGCCTAAAATGTAACCCGCTTCTATGATGGCATTGCTCTTGTTCTTGCTATACCATCAGTCAGTAACATGATATACTTCCTTTTGCTGAAAATTATGATGCTTTAACATAGTTTAAAAGAAACCCAGCATATTGGAAGCATAGCTATACAATCAAAGCTGAATCAACAATCTATATGTGTTTTACACTTTGCACTTTATGGAGGGACATGGAAGAAAAATCTCAAGAGTCAATGCCTCCGTAAAGAAAGGATGGATAGTATGCCACAAAAAGAAGTGACATCTTTAACAAATCTAACAATGCTGTATATAGAGATATCTTGAATATTGCAAGATAGGGGGAGACTCTTATTGCTTCCTGCACACACTGACCAAAAAAAAAAGTTTTTTTTATAATCATTATTTTTATAGTTAGTGTATGTAAAGAAGGGATTAGCTTTGTTAGTTGAAAAAACTATTATCTGAAGTAAAACTTCTAGCATCTGGTCAAATCTTGAGATGCAGTCTTTGAATGGGATTCTCAGTAATACCAGAGATGAAAATTTATCCCAAAACTAGGACATGAAACTCCTTGTTGTCTAAGAAATGTAATACCTGCTCTAACTCCCCTGTTTCCACATATCATGTGTATTTGGTAAGTTCCCCCTCTGTAGGTTTTAGGGCAGCGGATCCACACATCTATGATAATACAATTTATGAAAGCATTCTTGATGGACATACTTATAATTATGGTGCTCAAGCCCAAAGAGTGTAATATCTGAAGAAAACTATTCTTGGCCTAATAGTGAGAATGGTAAAATTTTCTATGATTGCCTCAGTTAAGTGAACTTAAAGCTGAAGTAATGAACTCATCTTTTGTAACAGTGTTGTTGGATGATTGTAGGACTTGGAACCTGTGAATATTCTGCATCTCTTCTATGATGAAGAGTCTACTCGGCAAGAAAAGGGTTTGCCACTGATTGTGCCAGCATGCTAATGTGTGTCATTCATTTTGGAAGTTGTTGGATATTGTAGTAATGTTTTGTACTTGTATTTTGTTACTGTGTGTGTGTACATAATGTGTGATGTGGGCTTTTTTTGATGCAATTTCTTGATTAGTGTTCAACTGATAGGTTCCTTGAAGGAAGTGAATAGTGCTTTAGTGGAAATAGTGAACTTAAATGCAGGCACTTCTGACCTAAGAAGTCTAGAGTCTAATATTGTTTTTTCCACTTTAAAAAAAGAAACAAAAAACTACACATAATAGTCAACTGTGGATTAATTAAAAGTACTATGTCTATTGGCAAATAGCTTGCTTTTTTGTATTAATATTTTGTATTATTACTCTAATTTTTGTGTTGGCTGTTCTTTCAGTGACACAGTGTTAAATTTTATACAGTTGCATCAAAATAAGGCTTTGTCCCATCTTTCACAGCATTACTAAGCAACTCATACTATTTTTGAATATATCGTGTTTTGAGGACTATAAAAGCATCCCAGACATTGTTATTATCATTGAATTTGCATCCTAATTCAAGAAAATTATTAGTGTTTAGATGATCTTTAGAGACAAAGCCTGTACTACCCATAGTATTATTGTTTGAAACTTTGTTTTGAGGATTCTGTAGCTGATAGTGCTGAGTTGGAGAGTGAGAAAAATGCAATTCCTTGATTTAAGTGTGTCATATTATAGCTGCTTTTGATGCAGAAGAAAGGATACGTTTAAGATCAATTGAAAAGATAAAAGTTGTCAAAGGAAAAAAATAAGACCACAGGGAAAAAATGCAAGACTAGTGAAGGATCTTTAAGGAAGAAAGAAAATATTCGAGGAGAAAGTGAAAGACAATGGGAAGGATCAACCTTCTTAGAAGCCCTCCCTAGACAAGTATGAATTATGGTAATTGGAAGTGTATCATAATAAATATTAAACCTCTATCTCTTCACATCTAGAGCTTGAAAATGCTTCAGAAGCAGAAATCATATTCATTTTTATTCAATTTTCTGAGATGAGAAAGTACGCTTTTATTTAAAAAAAAAAAAAAAAAGCCTGTTACAAGCCAAGGTTTGAAATTTATCAGGCAGAGTTAAGAAGCTTCTTTCTGAATCACAAATGTACATTTTGTTGTTTTTTAATTAACAAACAAATAAAAATCACATCTAATTTCTTATTTAAACAAAGACATTTCAGAATGTGCTCAACAGTGACATGCTGTTTCCATATAGCCCTGGGTGAGACAATCACTCTTCCTCTGCACTCTTGACTTTTCTTGGAGCAGTGCAGTTTGAAGAAATGCAAGCAGCAAGAGGTAGGGAAAAAATGAAGCTGAAGGAAAGAGAAGAAGAAGAGCGATCAGGAGAGGAGAGACTGCAAAAAGAGAAATGGGCAGCAGCGAGATGGGAGGCAGTGTGAAGAAAGAAGACAGAGCCAGGGAGAAGCAGGGGTAAAAGTTTGCTAGGAGCTTGAAAAGAAAGTATTGCTGAAAAAGTTTCTGGAAGTAGCTGGGAAAGACACAAGCAATGAGAACAACAGATAAGTATTTGAAACAAATTAAATGGAAAGGAAAAGAGCCTGTAACTGGCAAAGTATCTACATAAAATATGTTGGACGTGGAGGTTTCAAAATAATGTATACATTTACTTTCTTCAAACAAGTGCTGAGATTCCCTGGCAGGATGGCTGTTTTCATTCTTGTTCCTTTTCTTTTTTTGCAGTAGATCTGCATAGCATGCTTTCCTTTCACAATGGCTATTTGCTTATTCATCTAATCAGATGAATTACCCCTCCTTCATGTTTGGTAGGTGAGGACTGGCAGGTGGTTCTCCAGAAATATTTTCTTACATATACAGCAGATTAAAAAAAAAAAAGATGGGTAATGGAATAAAAAGATACAATAATGGGAAGTGAAGTATTTCAGCTATTATTGAGGCTGGCTCTACTACATTAGTTGGATTTTTCAGCTGTTATGCCTATCAACTTTTCCTTTGTAGGTTATTTTTCCCTAGAAGGGCAGTTTTATCTTTAGGTGGATCTTAGCATAACGATATCTTGATATTGCAGAGTTCATAAAGTGGAGCAATTTCTTAGTGATACGTTATTTTCTTCTCTCTCGTTGCAAAAATTGAAAGGTGTTTGAAGAATGATGTAAGGAGGATAACATCATGATATTGTTACTAAATGGCATTGGAGAAATGGCTGACTCTATCACATGGCTCCTGTGTGCAGCAGAAGGAATTTATATCAGACATTGTAATGGCATCAGTAGTTGCATTGGCATAAAAGGGTTTCATTAGGAAATGTGAGAGTACCATGGAGATCAGGCAGCATGTATCTTTAAGTAGCACTTCTGTTAACATGTATTTTTGTATCTAATGCCTATACTTTAATTCTATGTATAAGATGGAAATAGTAATACTTAGCTCATAGAAGTATTAGAGAGATCTTTTCTTTTTTCTTAAATACTTTACAGCATACGTGAGCACTGTCATGGAAATGAAACATGCTATAAACTTGAATTGATGTGCAGTGATTTGTTTATATGGTTATACACAGATGAAGACGATTTCTAAAAACCATTTTTGGCTTTCAGCACTTACCATGTCTAACTGCCTGTGAATTGCTACAATCTCAAAAAAAAAAAAGTGTTGCTTCACAAAGGGATATTTGCCACGTAGTATATCTAGAATTGAATAACTGATCTTGTTAAAAAGTTGAGATAGTACAAATGCAGATGGAAGCAATTAAGCAAATGGGAACTGCATCTACCATAGGACAGAATAGAATCTCACAGGCACAGGTGTTGTTTCAGCCTGAGCTTAAAGCCAATCACTTCAGAATGCATTGAATGTTGTCCTCAAATGCTGTTAGTTATTCTAGATGTGTACCATTACGTATTTATAGAACTGTGTATGTGTATGGTTATCAGTGAACAGCAGTACCATTTAAGACTTGAGATGTAAGTTATGAGGACTCTTACAGATCTCATTTTTATTTCAAATAATGTGGAATGGCTCTAGACACGAAGTACTCAAATACTCAAGATGAGTACTTGGAAATCAAGACACTTAGAAGTTCTTCTTGTTCTAAGTGGCAGTTGTCTTATTTGCTTGCTCAGAGTTACCAAAGATGCTGGAACCAGATAGGTACAGAAATGCAGTATTGTGTCCCTGTGACTTGCGCTCTATTCTACAGAATATGATGGTATGATGGTAGCCTATTATATGGCTGGGCTTTTGGAAACTAGCAAAAATTTTATTTGGAGAATCCAAATTATTTCCAGTGGGTGTTGCAGTATACAAAATAATATTTGTTTTTCTCTCAAGTACCCAAGTACATATGCTGGTATAGTCCTCAGGAATGCTAACGTTTCCTTATTAGAAGTGCTGTCACCCTGTTCTTACCACATGATCAGATGTTTGTTTTTATGCTTGATTATTGCCTGCACAGATTTCCATCCTCTAACAATGATTTCACTGTTTCCCTTTTTTTTTTTTTTTTTTTTTTTTCCAATGTGAAATGCATGAACTGTGTCTAGACTAAATTGATTTACTTACGAACTTGGGATTTTAACTGGGTACAAGAGTTTTAAGCATCGACGTAAAAATGTTACCTTTCTTTTTCAAATCTTCTTCCATTTTAGTCCATGAAGTATTACTCAAGGCTCCCTTTTCTTCCTCCCTTCCAAAAGTTATTCAGCTATGTACACGTGTGAACTGCAGTTCAGAATTGTTGAACACCACTTGGCTATTCCAAAAGTGGTTTATTCCACTGGCAGTGTCAGGGATGTCTTGCTTCTTCAAATCAAGTTTTATTTAGGGGTCATTGTAACTGTTTTGACACTTTTTTTGGAATGAAAGTATGTGTTTCTAGAGTCATGAATATAGCACTTCAAAAAATACTGACTACTAGGGAAGATTAAGTATTTGATAAAATTATACTGAACTGTGGCAAGGGAAAATATCGAGAGAAGCTGAACATCCAAGTCTGCGTCTTTTCTATTCTTCATCACAGATGGCTGAAGGATGAAAAATAGTCTTCCTAGTGTATTGCCATTCTAGTTTTCATACTCTGTAGTTTTACTTCAGGAAATATATTTAAGTGAAATTAGAGAGGAAGAAAGCCTACATCTTGAATTTCTACACTAGTGAAAGACTTAAGGAAAAGCATACAATTCACACAACACAGATTTATTCAAGTCAGTGGAGTGAGAAATTAAAGTTGCAGAAGTCTGCATGTGTAGGCATTGGTTATTTAGAGGTACTTAATTCCAGATTCCATTTGGGTTTCATACATACAGTATCGGACAAAGCAATGAGTTCCAGAGTTTTAACTAGACACGGGACTAGCTTTTTCATTTTTTTCTTCATTCATTTCAGTTAGGTGAGTTATTAGACAACCAAAATGTACATGCTTTAACCTGTACTCAGTGAAAGTAGCCATTTTGTTGCTAGATTTCTTTTTCATGATCTGTGTAATGTATAAGTCTTTGAGTTATTATGGAAATTTCTAAAACCTGAACTTTATTCAAAACACGAGCATTATTCTGCAATAGGCATTTCCAAAGAGATGATGATAATACACTCCTATTTCTTTATTTTATTATTTTATATTATTTTTATTATTCCTTATTTTGTCTGTCTTTTTGGGATTTGTAGAAACTGATTATATACAGTCAAAGGCCATTCTTCATATGATGATTTGTTTTTTTGCTTAAATATTTTAGTGGACTTTTCTGCAAAGCACTATCTGAATTTTAAAAAGGTGATAGATAAATAGAATTTTATTGGACTATGGTGATATTTCAGAATACGAAGTTTATGCTGAGTTATAGCTGCTTCAGCAGCTTTGAAACTACAGGCAATGTGAAAAATCCAGGCTTAAAAACTTGCGTGTGTGTGTCTATCCATAAAAGCAAGTTTTTTGTGTGATTTTGTGTGGGTTTCCTTATGATGAGCTGAATTCCTAAAGTACTCTCATTTCATATTTGCTATAATAGGAGATGTATAATAAATTCACATCCAAATTTATGGGGAGGTATATCTTTATATCAGAAGTAGTACCAAAAATCTTTAATAAGTTCGCTAAGAAAAACAGTGATCTAAAGGACATAAATTCTCTTAGTTTGTAAAAGGTGGGGATGGGGGGCACCATCTAATTATTAATTTATTTATTGATTACTTATATATTGTTAAACTGATTGCAGGTTTACCAAATAATTTTTCAGTGATATTTTTCAAAAATAATTAAAGCATATTTATTTATGCATAATTAAACAGGAACTTCCTGAATCATCATTTGATCTGATTCCTTGATCCTATATTTTTTTATTTCGGTCAAATTCCAATGCTATCCCAAGAAAAGCAACTTCTATGTGCATCAAGTGTTGATGATTCAGTTGTGTTCATTAAAAACGTTTTTAAAATAGCTTTTATTTACAAGTGTTTTCCATCTTCATTTTGTTTTTCCAGTTCTTCACAAGCAGCCAAGAGAAGTGTGCCTTTGTTTGCTGGAACTTGGACGGATTGCAGCAAGGTAGGTGGAAATATTTAAAGAATGAAGAAATATTTGCATTCTTGACAGCACTGCTTATTGAAAGACTACCTAAATCAGCACATATCTAGCTTCTGTGCTCATTAGATTCAAGAAGAATGCTTGTCTTGATATCACTCAAGAATATCCTTTGGGCAGTTGGTAATGAGGATAATGAAATGTCTCTATCTTTACATTAGTGAAGGTATTTGTTGTTTGTCCTTATGCTAGGAGAGGAAGGAGTTGAAAATTATTTTCCAAATAAAGCTTTGATGTGTTTGTCCTTCTAATGTTCACGTTCTCTATAAACAACTATGATTTAATTAGCTTTGCTGATAATATCAGTCTTCAGATGTCCTAAATCTGACCTAAGCAACACTCACTCTTATCTCATTTATTTCAATAAACATAGCTCTGATTCTCACCAATAGAATCAAGACAAGAATTGAAAAACAGTCTGTGTTTCATCTCTGTCAGATGTCCCCAGCCAGGCAGGACCCTTGTTATGTTCTAGAATTAACTTCTGCTGTCAAGACGCCTCTGACTTTTGATAGACTATCAAAATGATGGGAATGAGAATGTGATTTTGTTTTTTTCAGTTTTTGCTGATATGCTGGTGCAGTGTCTAAGAATTGCTGGAAAATATCTGACCAGTTGTCCTGCTGCTCACTTTTAAATGTACGATGAGGTTATATGAAACTGTGAATTAAAGTGAATTGTCATGTTTTTCTAGATTTCACTAGTTTCTCTAAAATTCCTTGTGTTTACAATCAGTGTGAAGGTGGGCGCCACTTCCTTCTACATGGACTAGTGTTTTCATGTAGGTATTTATGTTTTATGAATGTTCACTTGGGAAGCTACTCAGCTAAATTTATCTGCTGGTCGAGCTTCAGAATATACCCTGTCACTGGAAATTTGCATATCAGTAGTGTTGATAAGAATACGAACTAATTTCCAGTTCGCAGGGGTTTTCAATTCTTTCAAAAATGTGAACTCCAACATGTTGAAAACTACACATAATTTTTAAAAACTTAACTTGACATGAACAAGGGCCTACTGTTCTCTTTGTGCTTGATGAAAGTCAATTTTGACAAATTCAACTTTACTTGATCAAACATTGGGCTCCCAAGATCCCCAGCTTGAAGATATACTGTTCAGCTCTGAAAGATGCTATTCCAGTGGTGTAGATCAGAAATGCCTGCCCTGGACTGTTTGTTTGATATTATCTAGCTTGAGTCCTCAGGGAATTAATGTCAATTTTTATGTGTTGCTGGATTCTGTTGAAGTTGGTTGAGTTAGGTTAATCTCATTCTGAAATGGGCACTGAATTCTGAACAGACGTACAAAGGAATTAAGATTCAGCATTTCCCTTCAGATTTATCTGTTGTTTCAAGCTTCCATTTCTCACATACTACCTTTTTTCAGGTGTGAAAATAAATCCCGAACCATATAATGCTTTTATTTATTAAACATATCTATCCCAAACTCTTCATATATTTTGTATGTATGTAATATAAAATATATTAATGACATTATATACAATGTGTATTAACTTCTTATTTGTAGCTTGAGGTCAAATAACATATGTCCATATACTTGTTTCTCATCTAATATCTTTTTCAAACAAAAACATATTTATAATCTCTTAAGTTTCTCAGGGACACAAAAACTGCTGGAGGGAAATATCAGGTTAGTACAACAGAAAAGTAAATATTTGATGTCAGTTTTGCTTGAGCTGTGGTGAACTATAACTATTGTGGGAAAGGAAAACAGTTTCTTCCTCAAAGTGCACGAAAGAACATGTTAAACTGACATTGCTGTTGTGGTGCTTTAAATGGGAGAGAGGTCTCTTTATGCTTGCTTTATAAAGCAAATTATGTTTGTTAACAGCCTTCTGCTGGGATCTGCTTTTTGGAAGAGTTGATAGAGTATGATCATAGAATGGCTTGGGTTGGAAGGGACCCCAAGGATCATCAAGTTCCAATCCCCTGCCACAGGCAGGGCCACCAACCTCCAGATCTGGTATTAGACAGTATTAGACCAGGCTGCATAGGGTCCCATCCAGGCTGGAGAGTTGCCACTGAGGTCTTTTAAAAAGTGCCTCAATATATTTCTGAAAGATTAGAAGAGTAAAAGAATGAGTAACTTTTGATTTTTTCTTTTTCTCTTCTGTGGAAAGATGTGTACCTCGTTAGGAGCCAGTTCTTAGCACACTTTGCTGGCATGATTACTGTTTTTCTTCAAAGTCTATAGTTCCCATAAACCAATGTAGTTCACTGATCTTATTGAAAATAGTATTGGGTCTGAGGCAAAAGTGAAAGAAACGGGGGGTCATTGTGAGACAGAGATGGAATTTAGCTCTGCTCAACATGAACTCATTCAACAAGTGCTCTGTGAATAAGAGACGACAGGTGCTAATTTACCTATGCTTTAGTAACACTTGTAGCATCACCCTTCGTTGTGACCTGTGAGACAAATTAGAGATGATCTGGACCATTGGGTTGTCAGTGGGAATCTGCAATATCAGCTTAATTCAAAGAGTGGCACTGCAAAGCCCTGCTGGTTAACAGTGGCATTTATCAGGGATTTATATCACTTAATATCACTTAATTTTTTTCATTAATGGTCTAGACAATGTGACAGAAGACAGCTTCAGCATATTCATAGGAGGACAAGTCTGTGGTAAAGTTGTCCAGAGGTATCTTGACAAGTGGAGGAAAAAAAAAAAAAAAACACAACAAAACAGGCTGACAAAAAACGAATCTAAAATACTTAAAGTGTACCTGAGGTAGAATGCCTGTACAGGTCAGGGACAGTCTGTCTGAGCAGCAGCATTGCAGGTGGGCCTGAGGATTCACCATTTTGGACAAAGGCGACATTCAAAAACTGCAGCAAGAGAAATTCTGACTATACATGCAACAGAAAGAACGAAGTTATGTAGCACTTCAGGGAGCTGAACAACTACCACAGGTCTCTTGAAATTACTGTTGAGCCAGTTCAAGATTTCTGGTATTGTATTCAATTTTTCCTTGGTAAAATAAGAGAGGGGAAGTGGTGCTCTAAGTCTGTTGGAGATCACATTACAGCCTGATGCTGCTTCACTTGTAGTTATGAGAAAGCAGGCTAGAATCAAGTAGAAAAGGAAATTCTCAGCATGCCTTCCAGAACAGAATTTGCACCTCTACTGCATGACAGTCTCCTCTCAGAAAAGATGTTTTTGCAATTCTGGCTGCCTAGCAGATTGATCCATTCAATATTCGCCTAGGTTGGTTGCATGTGGGGGGGAGGAACTGTTTATTTGTCTTTCAACTTGTCATGGGAGAAATCTGGAGCGCTGTAAGCACAGGGAAATTTAAAATCCTGTCACAATGATGAAAATTGGAGATTATGAAAAGCAGCAGAAATAACGAAGCAATATTGCTTGGGAGAGTGGAGGAGTTTTATTTGATGAGTAAGGCTGCATGCAGGTGTAGGCCTGGAGCCCAGTGGGAATTTAATGATTTACAGCCTGTCGGCATCTGCAGACAGACAGGAAGTAAATGAATTGCATGTAAGTACTTGCTTCAGTGTTGGCTGACTTTTCGTTAGGCAGACTGCAGTAGTTACAAGCCAATATAAGCACAGATTTGGTTCTTAATTTTTTTTATATTAATTTACTCGGCAGCAGTGTGACTAAATTAAAACTTATCATAAAAAATAAAGGACTGTGCATTTATACCTTTTCCTTCTATGCTTTGATGTTACTGTGGTACTTTGATTAATTTTCATTGATGAGCTTGTTATTGCTCAATATTTTAGTGTCCAGATCTTTACCTAGATAAGTCAGCATACTTCTGCATCTGGCCTACTACAGAAGAAAATATGGTTTCATTTATACAGTTTGTTATGAGAAGTCTAAATGGCATTATGGCTTCTCCAAGACAAAGCCCTTCTCTGAAAAAAAGCAATCTTGCAGTTATTCTGGTTTTGGGTTCAGTGCTGGCAAAGAAAAAAGCAGAGGGGAATTATCAGTATTTAGGAAAATGATGGGCTTTTGAACTCTGGACATCTGTTCGAGCTCCGCTGCTTGCTCTGAGATGTTGGCTTAATCATTCGCCATAAAGCTTTCAAAAGCAGATATTGTTTTAAAGAACCTTAGTCTCCAAGAGCTGTGCTTGAGGTTCTCCATGCCAAAGTTGCACGTGTTTGTTTTCGTTGGAGCTGCAAGTATTTTTGCCACTGTAAGCAAAGGTCTGAAGATTGGCTGTGAAAAATAGGTTAAAAAAAGCTCTGGTTGCTTGTGAAAAATACTGGCTCTGTGTCAATTTATTGGTCTGCAAGTCTGGTGCAATACTTGTGTCCTAGACTGTTTTTAATCCCTTTTCAGTTGGAGCTGTGTAAAAACACATACAAAAAGGAAAAAAAAAAACCTCAAAACAACAACAACAACAAAACAACCCTATAGAAGAATAACAATGTAAAATGCAAAGTGCTATTGTGCAGAACTTTAAGTCTTTTCTTTTATATTACAGCACTTTCAGGCCTAGTGTACTTCATAAGTTAGTGATTTACAGACATATGCTATCAGACAAACAATATTTACTGTAAATTTAAGTAACAGCTACCATTTCATGTAGTTGCATTAATTTGTAATTATAGCTTCAAAGGTTGATATATTTTGTACTTGTTTACTAATGCACATAGCAATGTATTATTGCACAGTTGTATGATATAAACAATTGAAATTCTCTGCCTCATTTTGTTTTAAGATATTGAATACTTTAAAAGGATTGTTTGTTTTTTTGCATGTTTCCAAAAGGTTTGGGGTGGAACCTCCTGGATTAATAAAGCTGGAAAAGGAGATTGAACAAGAGGAAACGCTTTCAGCCCCCCTTCCATCTCCCTCTCCATCACCAACAAAGTCTCCCGGGAAAAAGAGCACAGGGAAGCTGTTGGATGATGCTGTAAGTTGTAGGGGAAAGCTTCCTAGCTGATCTATTCCCTTCTGATGCACTCTTGTATGCGCTTACTTGCAAAATATACAGCGGCTTCAGTTTAAGATCTCACTGTATTTTACAGATCTGCAGACTGATAGCATTAATTTGCTTTTAACCACAGTTACTTGTGCCTGAGGCTTGGAAAAAATGTAGCATTGTGTAGGAGATCTGCAGCTTAGCCTAGCTTAGTGTTAAAGGCCAAGTTCCCTTCTTATTACTGTGTTGTCTTTTTCTGTTGACTACTTATTCATCAACTCCCACTTGGTGTTTTGTCTGAGAAAGGACTGAGTCAGGACTATGAGATTTGGCCCCTACAGCCTTGTACAGATGGTCAACAAAACTAGGCTGAGATAACTTCTCTGCTGCTCTTCTGCACGTTCCTCAGGTGGTTAAAAATAAGAGGGTTTTTTCCTCATTGTCAGAAAGAATCTTGCTATGAATTTCATTAAACTCAATGCATTATACAGTAGCGTTCATATTTCTGTTGCAAGCTTCAGAGAATTTATTTGAAACTACTGGAATCGCATGAAAAGGACACATTTCGAGACCACGAAAAGGTTAAATTTGAATTGTACAGATATATTCTATAAAAAGAAGCAGTTACTATAGTAACTGCTATATTACAAGGTAGATGTGCCACCTGGGAGTTACAAAGCACTTCTTGAAAAATCCATGTGCCGCTTTTCTTTTTTTTTTTGCTAGAAAAAGCAGATGGGATATAATGTTCGTCCATTTTATTACTTCATACTATTTCATGCAAATAATTACATTTAGATTGGTTTTACATTTTGTATTTCTTCCTCAGCTTTTCAAAAGCACTTGCTTATGTTTCAACAGAATTGAGAAACAACAATTATGTGCAGAAGGATAGTGGTGACTGTATCTTGTAGTAACAGGAAAAGTATGAAGGTTGTCTCCAACCACCTCCTTTAATTTAGAAAGCAGTAGGGATAGAAACCTAATGAAATTCCTCCAGCTAGATTCCTGACCCTTGCTGCCCCAGACACTCACACCATAAAATAGTAGCAGTGCTCATATAGTCCAGACACAAAGTAAAATAGGATATAATTCTTCACTCTGCTTCCTTATTTGATTTCCAAATTCCAGTCAATAATACTTCTGCGTCCCTTGGGATAGTAAGGTAATGGAAGCCTCAATAGCAGGATCAGCAGTGAAGGTCTCATTATCCTCTGCTTTACACCAACATAAATCTGTTAGCTTTCATTCCCAATGCCTAATATAGCTTTTTTTTGCTTTTGCTTACACAGTTCAAAACAACCTTGAACCTCTCTTTGTCTACTTTGTCTTTTTACTTGTATAGAGGAACACTGGTAGATGTAGGTACAAAGGCGTATTTCACACTATCCATTTTCAGTTTTGAATAACCATTATGCCTCCAGATGTGATAACTACCGCAGGATATTACGTCAGAAATCCTTGATCATCAGTCAGCATTCAGGGACCTACTGTGAAATGGACTACAATTGTTTTTAGAGGACTTGCTTCCACATTCCAAGAGGTGTAGGAATGTACTTTTTCACCCTCAGCAATTTACGCTGGATTTAAGTCATAGACCACTGGCTTCACTGATGTTATATCTTTTGTAGCTGACCGTCTAAATAGTTTACTAACAATCCCCATTTCTTTATTAGAAACACTAGAATAATTGATCTTCAAATTGAGGACAACTCACTTAAACACTTATTGTATGTCAAATACGTGTAGAGTCCAATTGCGAAGTGTAATTTGAAAATGAAATATTTTTCACAAAAAATATAATACTCCCTAAAGCTCCTCACAACCTAAGAGTTAACAATTCTAACCTTAACAAGGTTACAAAGTAATTAAGTTATTCAGATAACAAAATTGAACTTCAGGCATAATTAGCCTTCAAACTGTGTCACCAGAACTAGTTTCAAAAGTGGTTTTGTTCCCCATTCTAGTACAGAAAGAAATATTTTGATTAACTCTTTCTAGTTTGTTTAGCATATTACAACCTTCTAAATTTTTCTTTTATTTCAGAAGTCTTTTCATTTATTCAGGTTAATCAACTTATTTCTTAGAGCGTCGTAGTTTTACCATTTTGTTTGTTTTCCTAAAATAATTTAAGACTTGCATTTTTTAGCTACTATAAAACATTCTTTCCTAGTCCTCAGATCATTTTTACAGGGCCTTGATTTACAAACTAGATCTCAAAAATTATTTGTAATATTATTTGAGATGGGCAAAATCTCTAGTAGGTTCCTCCAGCATTTTGCGTAGTTTGACACTGATGCACTAAGTTGGATTCCATCAAAGAAAACTGCAGTGCACAAAAGTGGTGCACTTGTCATTGCTGTTCCTGCACACAATTTGAACAGCAAATGAGAGTTTTCCACCTAGATCTCTTTTGGCATTGATGGCTGTGCTACTTTCAGGTCATTAAAGAATCAAAATTTCACTAAGCATTAATGACTTTGATAATTTGCAAGGCTATGTTTTCAATAGAGGTTGAAGTCAAGTTGGTGCAGTTGACAAGTAGAAAAGTATGGAGTCACATCCGGCACAGATAAAACACAGCACTCTTGGGGCTCCTTTAATTATTCTTGATTGCATTCAGGCTCTACAGTGGGGATTATTGAAGGGTAGTTAGCAATACTGGTGCAGATTTGTGACTACATAGTAATTTCCTCTGTCCAATTTTTCTAAAGTGCAAGTAGCCTACTTGCAAGTGCCACATGAAAGTATTGGGTAGGACCTTTTATCAGGAAGCTAAGATCACATGCTTCATTTTTCATGTTAGCTGTACTAGTACTTTCACAGGTCAACTGATTCACTGTGAAATACAGAGCATGTATCTACAGAAGTTTGCTGAACTCATATTGTCTGGATGAAGAGGTACGAGATGTGGTTTAGTAGCTTGTGGTAGCAATGGTGGTGGGAGGATGGTTGGACTTGATGTTCTTGTAGGTCCTTTCCAACCTTGTGATTCTATGATATTCAAGATTTTTTGTAGATTTCAGTTAAACATAGCAAATTTTATATAAAAAAGTTTAACTGTGATACTAGTCTCTATTTTTACCTCTTCACAGCTGTAAAATCCTTTTTGTCATTGGAAGAACCACAATCTGGGATTACAGGAAATAGTTTAAAACATCAGCATTCTCATTCTATTTAATATATTGAGTTTTTAAGGAATTGAGCATGTGTGTATATGTAACATTAGCTTTTTTTGTTTTTAATTGATTTCACATGGTTTATATTTCAAGTCAAGTGTATGGCTGATGCTTGAATCAGATTAAATTTGGTGCAGCTCCTGAACAGTGTGCCTGGGCAATCTCACGTGCCTGTTAGTTTACTATGCTTCCTATAGTGATCCTAAAGCCAAGTATAAGTAACCCTTTTTAGTTTTGGAATGCCTTTTCATCTTCCAATTCCCATTTTAACACTATTACAATGGATTTCATACCTGTGCAAGAAGGGCCAAATCCTCAGTTCTCATTCAGTTTTTTTTTCATTCATAACTCATACAGGGTTCTCTAGAAATTCAATAGGATTTTGGCTGGAGTGAAGAGTTTGCTATTTTCCTTTCATAGAGATGATATGCAAAATAATAGTTTTCAAAAATAATTAAAGCTATTAAATAATTAAAACTATTAAAACTATTGAACTATTAAAAATGTTGAGATTGAAAAGGTAATTAAAAAGAAAACAGCATTGAAGACTTAGATTAATCCTATTGTGTTATGATAAACGTCCTCTTGAGTGTTCTACAATGTTTTACTTATCTTTGCTGACTTTGTTTTTTTTTCTTTCAGGTAAAACACATTTCTGAAGATCCACCTTGTAAATGCCCTAATAAATTCTGTGTGGAGCGCCTTTCACAAGGAAGGTACAGAGTTGGAGAGAAGATTCTCTTTATTAGGGTAAAGGTTTTATTTTTTATCTGCTAACTCCCTCCTTGGAAATATTTTTCTTTTTAACCAGCACTGACTCATTTTTCTAATACTTCAAAGAATAAAGAAAGTATGTTAGGTTAACTGACTCATGGATTTATTAGCATCTGGTAGGTCCTCCTCCTTCTAGGTCATGGAATTCGTTCTGTCTTTGATCAGTTGCAACTGAGGAGCAGATAGCCACAAATGGAGATTGACTTCTAGCTTTGTTTGAAAGAACATCAGCTGCATCAGCCTTTCTCCCATTTTGCATTGACTGATACCATTTAATGGGTCAGGAAAGAGATCAAAGGCACAGTGGTCATTGCACTGTCAAGTTGTGATTAAGACATGTTGTTAAGTAGGGGAAGCAAAGCAATAATGTCATATTACTTGAATTGATTAACACGTATTTCCAAACTTAGTATTGTATTTCATACTTGATATGAATTATATTAACTGCTACATCACATAGTTGATCTTTAATGTTAATATTTCCTAGAACTATCTGGCTGAATTTAGAAAAAAAAAAAAAAAGTTTTCTAAACTTAATTTGGATCCTCTTTGCGTATTCTGTATGTATATTTATGCCAACAATATGAAAATATTCCAATCCTCTGATTTTCTGATATTGTGGAAAGAACGTGTTTCGTATTATGTTTCTTCCCATTTTCCATTCCTCTGTCCACATGTGCTGTGTTGTATAACAACTTGATAAAATGATACATCTTACTATCAAGAACTGTTAACCCTATTTTGCGAAAGGTGTGAAACCAACCTCAAAGTGAGGATTTAGCACCTGTGAGAAGAAAAGAAGTTGGAAGGACTCCTTCCCATCTGTTCCCAGTTCAAACACAATAGTGGTCATTACTCTGTCATACTCTGCACTTAGTTGACACTGAAGTCAAATTTAGATAAGGATTTAGGTTGCCCCATGTGTATGAAGTTGAGAACATGTTTAAATAGTATGCTGAGTAGGAACTGAAAAATCCCATTTAATTCAGTAATAGCTGAGAATGAATAAGAAATACAGCATTTGTGAGAGAGCGTTTGAGGTGTAACATGCTAGGGTAAAGGATTAATAGCTTTTCTGTTCCATAGCCAGCAATAGTTCTTTTTAATTCTGCAATATTTTAAGGTACTAGCTTTAAATGACTTGAAAGAAGGTGATTTCATTAACCAGACTTCCCAGTAAACTGGGAGAAATTTAACACTTCTGTTTTCTTCCTTTCAATTTTACTTTAAAATAACAATATATTTCAGTTTTGATAAACTAAATTGTTCTGCCAAAATGGTGAGTGTCAAATTCCCTTTCGCTGGCTTCTTTATTGTGCAATCTAATCCAACTCAGATTTCTTTCCAAGTTTGCAAACAAAACACCCTTTTCATATCACTCTACTCTGTTCCAAGTAGGACTGTGCCAAAAAATAACAATATAGATTAGACACGCATCTACAGTATTACAGATCATTCCCACAGCATTGGTATCAATGGCAACTTGACAGGAACTTCAGTGGGAGCAAGTTTATTTTTGTAGGTTTTAGAAGTCATTTGTGTTAGGTTTCTGTTAGCTTGAATCTTGCTTTGGAATACTCGATCACAGTAAGTTTTTACTCTCTCTATATTTTTATTGCATACATGAATTAGCATTTCTTTGGAATCCTTTAGACATTTCCTTATGAGAAAATAGGTTAGAGATGCATAGCTGACTGCTGATTTTCTTGATATTTGGCGCCCTATTCTGGTGCTGCTGAGACAGTTCCTCCTATGTTATACGTTCCATGTAGAGCATGACAGTACCCATTATAGGGGGAAAAAGTTCTTCCTAAATTCTGTAGATCAGTCCCACTGATGAATCTGATCACTTGCAAGTACTATAGTCAACTTCAAGCAGAACTGCTCTTCAAAAATGAGATATGAAATCTTATATAACAAACTCTTGTGCGATGTATCTTGGAAAGGGGACACACAGAGTTAAATCTTGAATGTAGCAGAAGAGGTATTTAGATAAATTTTATGGTAAGAAATGTGAATCCTACCTTAGAAAAAGATAGCTTTACAAATAAATTTTAGTGGCTGATATTTTTATTTCAAACTATCTTGTGTTTAATACATGATATAAGCATAAGGATGTATGCTTTCCACAAACAACTAAGTCACTCTCATGAAAATATACCCAGCAGATTCACACCCGTAATAAAATTCAGATCAACGAGTTCTGTTAAATGAAAAACTATTATTTTTTGTGCAGCTGGATTAAGATCATAATGGGTCCTGACTGTAAAGTCTGTCGCTTTTCCTGACCTCTGATTGCTCTTTTTGACCTTATTCTTTTAATCATTAATTTCAATTACTGTTACTTTTTTATAATAATGAGAAAATGTTTGTTTGATAATAACTTTCTCTAAATCCCCAGTAATCCATTATTTGCCTGCTGTAGCACCTGTGGAGAAGCTTTCCTTTGGAATTCACTATCAACATGTATACACAGTTCTGCCAGACTGTTTTCCATTTCTGATGAGAAAAATGTACTCACTTATAAATATGTAAGCACACTACTCCAAACCATCCAGGTGGGGACAATGTAGCAGCTAAGTACAGGAAATACAGAAAAAAGGAGAGCAGATTGATCATATATTTCTCAAAATTCCATCTTGTTCTGCTTTTTCAATCCAAACACGTAATTTGTATTGACTATTTTTGCTTGGTGAACTTCTGAGGGTTTTGTTTTTTTTCGTCACCATTTACCTGAACTTTATTATCCTCCTTGTTTTTGGGAAGCAAATTTTCCTGCTTCTCTAAGGCCATTTCATTTATAACGTTCTCACTAATTTACTTTTCTGGTACTGAAATTCTTTCTCTAGAGTGTTATCCATATCAAATAACCTTCGCTGATGTCTAAAATTTCAAAACCATTGGCAAATCAGGATTTCATCAGGACTCGAAGGGCAGTGATGGTTACTGGTCTGTTCTTTGGGCTTTGATTCTCAATTGTAGCAGTGGATGGGTGGACACATTTTCGTTCTTTAGTTTGTTTTCTTTTGTTTTAACTGTGGGTCGGTTCCTATCCAAATGCTTTACCCTCATGTACTATTTGGCACAGTTCATCCTTACTTCCTTAGTCATCCTAATGAACGCATAATGAATTCTAAATGATCGATTTTTGCTTTTTTCTCCTTTCATTTTTTTAATAATAGTAGTTAACAGGTAGTTAACTACTGGTTAACCTATTAGTATAGGTACCAATAATACCAATATTTTTGAAATAACTAAAAAAATGTCATGTAAAATAAAAATTAATTACCAAACGAATTATGTAAAAGGTGATAGAGGAAAATTCTCAGAACTCATTGTGGGTTTTTTTTCTTCCTTAGAATGCTGAGAATACAGAAATAAGAGAGGATTTTATGTAATTTGTTCTATTTTTCTTCCCTTCTTGTGAAGATGTTTTATTCTGCTGACTCGACTGACTTCTTTTATAAAATGCACTGGATCACCATCTGCATATCTAAGAGCATAGGCTGACTGCCTCAATCATGAGTTCGCAGACAAAAAATTACTTGATAAATGCTTTTCCATTCTGCAGTTTATCGTTAAGAATTATAGATTGGGAGCAATAAGTTTATATTGAAAACGTTAATGAAGGAAAGTATTTCCTTTTTATTTGGTTATTTCTTATTGTGCTTCTGCTTCACAAATTAATCTTTTTGTAAGAGTCCATTTTAAATTTAGGAGATGTTAATACATTTTCAATGACATTGAGGCAGCAGTTAATGTTCACAGTTCAAAACTAGTAACTGGACTGACTGGAGATCATAGAATCATAGAATAGCATGAGTTGGAAAGGATCTTAAAGGCTATTTCCAACCCAGTGATGTGAGCTGATTGCTCCCCACCAGATCAAGTCAGCTAGAACCCCATTCAACCTGTTCTTGAATGCCTTCAGGGATGGGGCATCCACAGCTTCTCTGGGCACTGTGTGCCAGTGCCTCATCACCCTCGAGTGAAAAATTTCCACTTAATATCCAATTTAATTTCCTCTCTCTTAGTTTAAAACAGTTCCCCCTTGTTCTGTCACTATCAGATAATGTAAAAATCAGATGATCTTCCTCCTGATTTTAAGCTCCTTTGAAGTACTGGAAAGCTGCAACTAGGTTTCCCTGGGGCTCTCTCTTCTCTAGACTGAACAGGTCCAACTGCCCCAGCCTTTCTTCGTAATAGAGGTGCACGAATCCTTCAACCATTTTGTGGCCCTTCTCTGGACCTCCTCCATCAGCTCCACATCCTTCCTTTACTGGGGGTCTCAGGCTGGGACACAGCACTCCAGATGGGTCCTCACAAGGACAGAGAAGAGGGGGACAATTGCCTGCCTCTCTGTGCTGCCACCCTTTTGTTGATGCAGCCCAGGATCTGGGTCATGTCCAGCTTTTTGTCCTTCAGGACCCCCATGTTCTTCTCTGCAGGGCTGCTCCCAAGGAGTTTTTCTTCCAGTCTGTACACATATCTGAGTTTGCCCCAATCCAAGTGCAACACCTTGTACTTGGCCTAGTGAACCTCATTAGTTTCTTGTGGGCTCACTTTTCAAGCCTGTCCATGTCTCTATGGATGGCATCCCTCCCTTCTATTGTGTCAACTGCACCACTCAATTCAGTGACATTGGCAAACTTGCTGAGGATGCACTTGATCCCTCTGTATATATTGCTGATAAAGATTTTGAAGAGTGTTGATCCCAAGACAAACCCCTGTGGGACCCCACTCATCACCAGGATGCAGTTATTCATAGTGTAACTTTTTAAGGATGTTAGAACCAATCTTTCTGCTTTCTTCTTCTTTGGTGAGGTGAAAGGATTTAGTATGACTGTAATGTGAACGTAGTCAAAGCAAGCACATCTATCTTGCATAGGAATATTCTACAGTGATTTATGGGCTGAATTAACTAATATAGCCCTGTAGTTACTGTAGCTTCAGGCAACTAGTATGCTAATTAAAAA